TTCCTCGGTATTTTATTCTTTTTGTTACAATTGCAAAAGGAATTATTTTTTCCACTTCTTTTTCTGATGCTTCATTATTAGAGTATAGGAATGCTATGGATTTTTGAACATTGATTTTGTATCCAGAGACTTTACTGTATTTGCTTATTGTTTTTAGTAGTGTTCTTGTGGAGTCTTTAAGCTTTTCTATATAGAGAATCATGTCATCTGCAAATAGTGACATATGACTTCTTTGTTTCCTACATGGATGCCTTTTATATCTTCCTCTTGCTGATTGTACTTGCTAGGACCTCCAATATTATATTGAATAGCAGTGGCGATAGTGGACAGCCTTGCCTTCTTCCTGATCTTTGAGGGAAGGTTTTTAGTTTTTCACCACTAAGTATAATATAGGCAAAGGGTTTGTCATAGATGTCTTTTATTATGTTAAGGCACGTTCCTTCTATACCGATTTTGTTAAATGTTTTGATCATAAATAGATGCTATATCTTTTCAAAGGCTTTTTCTGCATCTATTGATAAGATCATATGATTTTATTTTTTAATTTGTTTATGTGGTGTATCACACTAATCGATTTGTGTATGTTGAACCGTCCCTGTGCCGCTGGGATGAAGCCCACTTGATCGTGGTGTATAATCTTTTTAGTATGTTGCTGTATTCGGTCACTAGTATCTTATTTAGGACTTTTGCATCTGTGTTCATGAGAGATATTAGTCTGTAGTTTTCTTTATGTGTGTTTTCTTTACCAGGTTTTGATATCAGAGTAATAATGGCCTCATAAAATGAGTTTGGAAGTATTGCCTCCTCTTCAGGTTTTTGGAAGAGTTTGAAGAGGATAGGTATTAAATCTTCTTTGAATTTTTGGTAGAATTCACTGGTAAAGCCATCTGGTCCTGGACTTTTATTTTTTGGTAGGTTTTTGATGATTGTTTCAATTTCCATACTGTTTCCTTGTCCATGTGTTTCTGTTTTCTTTATTTTGGTTGTCTTTTGTGAGTTTTGCCTCTGATTCTTCTTGTTTTATGTTATATATTTCAGTTCTGACTCTATGGTGTGTGGTTACCATTACAAATAGGAAAAAGATAGTTATATATAGTCATACGTTTTCTTCTGTGTGTGCCTTCTCTCTTTTCCTCTTGCGAATTTGTATCTTTGAATCCTCCCCTTTTCAGTCATTGTTATCTCAATTTGTCCCTATGTATGCTGAACGTTCATTGCTATCTTGCTATAGCAATTCTCTTATTATTATTTAAGCTTATAATGCCCTGTTCTTAGTAAGGGTTGCACCCCTCTGCTTCTATTTGCCTGATAGTCACTTTACTCCTAATTATGTATTTTTGTTGTAGTTGTTATTTTGTTTTAGGTGAGCTCACTCCTTTCCGAATTTCCTATAGTACAGGCCTCATAGTGGAGAATTCCCTCAATTTTTGTATGTCTGGAAAGGTCTTAATTTCCTCTTCATATCTAAAGGAGAGCTTAGCTGGATACGTTATTCTAGGCTGGTAGTTCCTTTCACTTAGTAATTTAAATTTTTGATTCTATTCCTCTCTGGCTTCTAAGGTCTGCGCTGAGAAGTCTGATAAAAATCTAATAGATTTTCCTTTATAAGTTACCGTTTTCTTCTCCCTGGCTGCCCTGAGAATTCTATATTTGTCATTGATTTTTGATAACTTTAATACAATGTGTCTTAGTGAAGACTTTTTTGGGTTGAGATAATTGAGTGTTCTGATGACTTCTTGAATTTCAAGTTCCAGCTCATTCCTTAGATTTGGGAAATTCTCGTCTACTATTTGTCTGAAAATGCTTTCTATTCCCTGCTCCCTTTCCTCGCCATTGGTAATGCCCGTTATTTTTATGT